CACGGCGGCCAGAAGCAACAAAACAAAGTCAAAACAGAGGTAGAATGTGCGGTGCTCACGAGGAGCACAAGGTGGCTGAGAGCTTAGGAGCTGCATACGGTGGACGGATTCGACGATGTACGACGATGGCCGAGGTAGGAAGAAGAGCTCGATCCACGTGGTGTGGGGCTCTCCGGCTTGATCTCATGGGTCCAGGCGACAAAGACGACCACAGTGGAGTGGAGGTACACGGACTCAGGCGGCGGGGAGGATGGTGGCCATGTCGGCGAGCTTGGCCATGGCGGTAGTGGCGTTGGTCTTGAGCGGGCAGAAGAGAGCGAGCGAGAGAGAGGGGGTGAGCTAGGGTTTCACCTCGAGGTCATAAGGGTGGTCTTATCCACATGGGGAGCTCATAGGATGGACGACCCGTGGACGTTGATGGCGTCGACGTGCGTGGTGGACCTCTGGTGAACAGGGGAAGGAGATGACACGATGGTGGGCTAGGCCGTGCACGGTGCACTCGAGGCATAGTGGCACAATAGGCTGTTGTACTTTTTCTTTTTCTGTTTCTGTTTCATTTTTCTTCTCTGTTTTCTAGTTTTAATAGCCACTGAAGGAATTTTGTTATTTATGAAAATTGACACACAAATACTATGCATCATAATGAGGAGGCCCACAAAGTTTCAAACCATTTGGAAATGTATAAATATTTGTTTATTTTTACATGACCAATTTTAATGTAGTCCATTGTAAAACATATCAAGTATTTCATTTTTCTTAAGAGGATGATCAGGCAAAACATTACGTAATTGGAGAAGCCTACCCCAAACTTGAGGGAGATCCTCTTCTTCAGATTGCACAAAGTTAAGTATTTCAGACAACATGTTTCTTATGAGTAGAAAAATATTTTTAGAGAAGTAATATATCATATCCTCGGGACTACGCACTTAACGAGGAGCAAGAGTATTAAACCATTTCTTAGCATCACCCTTTAATGATAAAGGAAACAACTTAAGTATACAGTAGTAGCAATTTTTTCCACATGAGCAAATAGGGTGGCTATATCATTCAATTTAGTAAGGTGTGCCACAACAATTTCAGTTTCATAACCATGAAAAGGATCAGATTCAATCAAAGTAATTAATTCAAGATCGATAAAGAATTCATAATCATTATAGGTAACAAAGATAGGAGAGGTAGGAAACTTAGGATCATATTTCATTCTCTCTATCATAACTTTTTCTTTCAGCTTACTCAGTAATTTCTTAACACCATCTGTATCATTACAAGCAACAAATTCTCTAGCTATCCCCCCATCTATAACGTAACCATCACATATCTTAGGCATTTCAACTCTAGTAGGAGAGCTAGGCATAATAGATGAATTATAGTTTTCATCAGTTTCAGTAGTTTCAGTTCTTTTGCTTTAACAATTTGTTCATCAAGAAATTTACCTAGTGGCACAGTATCATCTAGCAAAGTACTAGCATCATCACAAGTTCCATTTATAACAGAAGTAGTATCATCAATTACTTGCGACATTTCAGAATGAATAGTAGGTGGTGGGGTCGTGAGCCTACTTAAAATAGAAGATGAATCAAGTGCGTATCTAGACGACAGTTCCTTACCTCCCCTCATCTTAGAGGGTACGATCTTGGTCTTAGTGTCTTTTAGATTTTTCATAGTGTAAAAATCCCAAGTGAACTCAATAGATAGAGCTATGCTTCCCGGAAATGGTGCCAGAAAAAGGTCTTGATAACCCACAATATAGCGGATCGCGACAATCTTCGAGGGTAGTATTTCACCCAAATTTGTTGATTAGACACAAGGGGAGACAAAAGAAATATTTATGAGCCTTCGCAGTTGAGTTGTCAGTTCAACCATACTTGAGAAATAATATCTCCGCAGCAAAGTGTTCAATAGCACAGTAGTTTGATAGTTTTGACAGTAACAGTAGCAGTAGAAATAGTAACATGAGCAATTTGTAATGATTGTAACAAC